ACATGCACACACACACATACACACATAACACAGACATCTGCTTTACGTTACAGATGTCTGTTAACATCCCATTTTGGTTTAGTGCGTACTCACAATTTTAGCCGCATCAAAGTAATTTTCATCAAGCATTGCTATCCTTTTATAGCTTCATAATTGGCGCAGGAAGATGATAAGTCCAGAATCTGCTTTTCGCTCAAAGATAGCTTGTAGAAGTTAGATTATTGTGACTGCAGAAAGCAGACTATTTAATTGAATCTAAGCTGTAGCAATAGTTTTTTTTTTCAATTTGGCTTACGGTGATTGTCAGATTATGGTAACCTGGGTGTCAGGTGTAAATAGTTATCTCTATAGTTTTAGCGTATGGTTATAGGTTTAGTTGAGATCTCGGGAAAAAAATAACCTTGTTTTTGATATTTTTGCAGGTTTATATTATATTTTATTGGTATCTTAATCGTTATATTGATTGCCTAGTAAACTAATATAAATAATCACCTATCCCAGAGGCAAACTTGTAGATGTGTCTTGCTGCGACAAATACCACACATAAGACTATTCGATAAGTATATTTATTTGATAAAATTTTACACAAACCTGTGGTCATGACTTTTACTATAAAATCCAGTATCCTTGCGTAAAGCCACAATAGAATTGAATAAGTTTTCGTGGTCGAGTATCCCTGCCACTAAGATTAATTTGCTGAGCACTCTCTGGGTTTATCGCCCCACATCCACCAAATCTTTGGCGAAATGATTTTATGACAGCTACCTTGGATCAGAAGTTATATTTTCTACAAATATCAAACATTTAGATATGGCGGAGGGCTTACCATCATCAGGCACAGAACAAGAAACGACACCTCCACCCAAGAAAACCTTGCCCATGGAATGTCTTCAGCGTTTACAAAAGTTTGACGAAGCACTTACATCGCTTGAGATAGCGCTAGCGCCAATTCTTGAAGTTGGCTTTGACGATCATCTGAAGGTGAGAGATTTCTTTAAATCAATTTCTTCTTTAACCCAACCTTTCAGAGAACGCCTTTAGAACTCGTACAAGTGGACGTTATGACAATGTTTGTGTTAAACTCGCTGGGATGGTGTTTAACAGC